TGGTGAATATCCCTGGTGCTTGCCATGTGGTGAAGGTGGTGAGTTGGGTGGGCTGGAAGCTTGTGCTGTTCTCATCATCACCATTGGTGTACTCGATGTAGTAGCCACCAGCAGGCAGCTCAGATACCGTCACACTGGCCGTGCATGTCATTATGCGGGTGGGAGATGCATCATGAGAAGAAGTGGCGCACTCCATGAAGTTCATGGTGATGGCCGGCGTCACCTGTGCACGGTGTACGAAGAGGGGTTTGAAAGGTGGGGTAGGCGGGAGGATGTTGAGCCTTAGAGAGCCGGGGCAGGCCAGCGCAGTACTTGCTCGAAGACCAGTCCTTCTTTATCCTACCTCTGAGATAGATCTTGCATGAACAACCACCAGGAGCGTCCATATGAGGGCGAAGGGCCGGGTCCCGAACATCCTAGGCACGCACTACTTGCAGTCGCCGGCCAAACAACCAGGCAGTGGCGACGGTTTGATGAAACCGAGCGACAGAATTTGGGATTTTTAGGAGCTTGGAGTAGGTATCGAATGTGAGGTAGGTTAGGGTAATCGATGTACATATTCCCTCCTGAATGTGCCGCGGCACGGGCGCCGTATGCTGCCAGCTCCACTAACCGGGGGCGGTCGGCTCAATAGCCGGAGATCCCGGTCGGCAAATCTGTACCTCCGAATCGCTGAGAGCGTGCCATGTGTCACCTGAGTGCGCATGTTTCGTCCCTCGCTGATTTCAGGCAATCTCTGTGCCATCTTCGTACCAAACGCTGATCAGGCCCATCTTTGCGTGTGTCTCGTCTCTAGCTGTCCACTGGACAACGCTGTACCGATGGAGCCCCTTTCCTCCGGATTAGTCCCTGCTCCAGGGTCGGAGGGTGACTGTACCCCGTGCCCCCGAACTATGAACTCTAAAGTATGTCACCCACCCGATAGAATCGAGTTTCTGGGTGTGTTCCTCGTCTTTGAAGTCAACAGGGAGGGGGCCCGGTCGCCCCACCTGGTAGGAATGCACACGCTGGCGAACATGCAAGGGGAGAGGCACCACAAGTGCCGGCCAGGCCTGAACCCTAGCTCTGCGATTCTTCCCTTTCCACGCTCAGGCCGATCAGCCTGCCGGTGGGAGACTCTTCCCCAGGCACGCCACATGCTCCAGCGCCGCCCTGGGCCAGCTGCAAGTGGCATGGCGCGTGCAGGAAGCGCACCCCCATGCAGCCCCGCATCACTTCTCCAGCGCGGGCGAGCTGGCGGCGCGGGGCAGGCCCCCGCCCGGGACAAAGTCGCTGGCGCTCACGCTCAGGTTCAGCGAGCTCCTGCTCCCCTGCCTGGCCAGGTCTCCCCCCGCGCCGGGGTCGAGGGCCAGCCCACCCAGCGCTGCGGCAGCGGCCGCCGCCGCCTCGGCCGCCGCCGCCTCGGCCGCCGCGGAGGCCTGCCGCCTCGACACCAGCTCGAAGCCGGGCACGGGGGGCATGCAGGGCACGGTCCTCGGCAGCGCAAAGCCCACGGCGTCGGGGGCATCGGGCCCCCTGGGCTGGCGCGCCGTGGGCCCCGCCTCCGGCCTGGCGACGCCGGCGAAGAGGCGCGGGCGCGGCGGCGGGGGGCGTCGGCGCCGCCGGCCGCCGCCCGCCCCCGCCGCGCCGCTGGTGTCGGGGGCGCGCAGCGCGTGCGCGCCAGGCACCGGGCCAGGGGCTCGCCGCCCTTGGGACTGGTGTGCAGGACACCCTCCAGTTCGTCCCCCGGACGCAGCTCGGGCTCGCCCTCGCCGCGCGGCGCCACCTCCCGCAGCTGGAAGTAGAGCTTGGCCGGGGCGGGGCCCAGCGTGCGTGGCGCTGCGCCCCGCGCCAGCCCAGCGCGCCCAGGAACCCGAAGCCGCGGTCCGGCGGCAGCGCCAGCACGCGCCCGGACAGGGCCACGGGCTCCACGCCCACCGCGCGGCGCCCCGCCATCGCCGCGCCCGCGGGGCTGCTGGCCGCCGCCGCCGCGCGCGCGGCCCTCACGTCCGTGGCCAGCCGGAAGAGGACGTGGTCGCCGGGGCGCAGGCGAGCGCCCGCAGCCACGTCGGCCGCGTGGAAGAGCACGCGGCGCGGGCCAGCGCCCGCAGGGCAGCCCAGCACCCCCGCGCCGTCGTTACCCGGGCCGGCGCCGGGGCGCTCCAGCACCACGCCCGCCAGGACCTCGGGGGCCACCACCTCGAACACCACCGACCCGGGGGGCGCCGGGGTCACGCCCACCGCGCTGAGCTGGCCCTTGGCGTCACGCCGCACGCCGTACTCCACCTCCAGCCCGGGCGTGACCTGGTCGGGGGGAATGCCCTGGAGCTGGGAGAAGTGGAAGAAGATGTCTCCAGGACGGTCCAGCTGCCTGTGTGGTCGTTGTGGCAAAAGGAGGGGTTGCTGGGTGAGGGCAGGGGACTGGGAAAAGGAGGTTGACCCCCGGAGGGGGGGGGGGGGGGGGGGGGGTTGATTCATGCATGGTGTGGGCCCAGTTGATCAGGGCAGGCCTGCACAAAGTGCCCCGGCCCACCTGATGAAGCCAAACTCCTTCTTGGTCTGGACGATGCGGCCGAGCAGGCGCTCAGCGCCGGGGGGCGGCAGCTCGGGCGCGCTGGGCTCCGGCGTGCCAGGCCTCGCGCCGTCCCTCCCACCCTGCACGCAGACCGGCCGACATTGGGGTTAGCTGCGTGCGAGGTTGGAGCCATGCGGACCCATGGCCCAACCCTCCATAGTCCACTGCGATCCCACCCTGTTGCAACTCCATGCCATCGGTGGCACGAGCAGCGGCCCCTTCCGTCCAGTCTCCCCGAGCTCCCCAACCCAGGCCCCCCAGACGCACCTGCACCCCCACCAGTCGGATGTTCACCGCCTTGCGGGCCAGGGTGGCCGAGCTGTGCGCGACCTCAAACTCCACGGCGTCGTTCTCCAGCACCGCCGGTTGGCCGGCTGCGGGGTTGTGGGAAAGGGCGGGAATCTCAGTGAGGGTCACCCGCCGCCCCGACTCCTCCCTCTCCTGCTCGCCACCCAAGCCGCCTCTCAAGTCATGCCCCTGGGTTGCCGTGCAGTGCACCCCGCAAAAGAATGATCGCCCTCCCAAGCTCACCCTGCACCCGGAAGTTGCCGTAGTGCGCCTGGTGCTGCGCGCTCGGGTCCTGGCCCGGCTCGCTGTACAGGATCACGCCGTCATCTAGCCTGACCGAGGCCTGGGAGCGGGAGCGCACCGCCACAACCCCCCGCTGCGTGCCTGCGTGTGACAGGGTGGGGTGGGCTGGTGTCAAACGTTTCCAACATCCTGATGGGGCGCGCTGCGCCGCCTGCCCCGGACACAGCCCCCGACGCCCTCCGCGCAGACCGCCCCGCACCCAGGGGCCAGCCCTGCCGCGGCCTCCACCGGTACTCAGACGAGTTCCGGGCGGAGCCATCCCCACGCGCGCACCTGGGAGCAGCTCCTCGCCGAGGAGCAGGAACGCCGCGGCGGGCGGGCCCTCGGTCGCGGGCAGGGGCGGGCCCCGCGCGTCCCCGGCGCGCGGGGCGGCGGGCCTGGCCTGCGGGGGTCTCGGCGCTGGGCCCCGCGCCGGCGCCTCCCGCGCGCCGCCGGCCCTGGGCTGGGAGGGGTCGAAGCCCGGGGTCAGGGTCTCCACGCGGCAGGCCACGGTGCGCCCCGAACCCGCGTCCCGGCCGATCACGAAGCCGACGTAGTCGTTCAGGGCCGCGCCGCCGCTGGCAGCGTCCGAGTCGCTGACGTGGAAGAAGATGCGGGTCCTCTCGTTCTTGATGAAGCCGTACTGGTGGATGGGGTGACAGGGGGAGGGGGGGATTCGCCAGGGCATGGCAGGGACGGGCATAGGTGGTGGCCTGGAGGAGACAACTGAGTCAGGCCTCACGGCCAGCAGGCCTGCAAGTATGATGGAATGTGCACCGCCTCCCCGCCGCACAGCAGCAGGCCGGAGGGGCGCAGAACTCCCACATTGACATGGCTGCCAGCTGCAACTCTGGCTGCCCCCACTGAAAGCTTCACCACTCTCTCCAGGCTCACATTCTGCTGACGTGCCACGACGAATCCGTATTGTGGAGTGGCATCCTCTGGCACCTCGATCTGAGGCCTGGGGGTCCGCGCGCGTGGCTGTCTGTCCTGCCTCTCCCTGTCCTGCCGCGAGCCGGGCCTGTAGGTCGATTCTGGGCCGGAAGGGGCTGAAGGCTGCGCACGCAAGAGCTCTTCAGAGCTCACCAAGGATGTCGACAGCATCTAGGGTCTCTGGGGGAGAGGGGAAAGGGGGTAGGCGGCGAAGTGATCGTGGGTTGGGGACCGGCGCATGCCAGGCACTAAGCTACATTCTCCACCGATCAGCAACATACCTCGAGATGAAGTTGAGGAATGTATACAACGCGCTCAGCAAAGAAAGCTCTTGGATGCAAGAGTTCGGGACGGCGAAGTCGGGGAGTGTCTGGTGTCCTCCCAGGCTGATGCGGCAGACGAGTGCGCGGGGTTGGAATTTGGCGAAGCAATGAGCACACAGGGCGTGCGTGGTACACCGTGTGAGGCCTGCGCGGTGTTGGGAGCAGCTGGCCGAGGCTTTGTGGGCTCCGCCTCTACTCCTGGTCCCGGTGGGCAGGGTGACGTGGAGGTGCTAGGTTCCTGAGGGTCAGCGCGCGCGATCCAAAAATCAAGAACTCGTGGGCATGGTGACATATCTGTTACATGTGCATCGTAGATCCTATCGAGAGAACTTCAAAAAGGGTTGTACCGCTCTAGCTGCTTCTCCTCCCTAACTAGCCGGCTCTCGGGCCACCACGACCGCACGCGCCATGAACCTCGCCCGTGCTGGACACTCCCAGCCTGCATTAGCCAGGCACCAGCCCAGCTCTGTTTGGCCCGTCACCGTTCGAACCTCTCACTTTATGCAACCTGTGAGTTGTGCGAGCGCTGGTGACGTCAGGTCGCATTGACTGTCTTCCATGCTTCCACCCATGTCTCACCCATCATCTCATTCACGCAGGCTCCCGTCCCCCGCCCATCGGGCGGTCGCGCCCGTGCAGCAGTGGATCTTCACAGTCCTCAGCCTGCCGTGGAGGCAGCGCCAGCCGCACCTCCTGTCCTGCCCTTCCGTGTGGGCCATGGCTGGGACCTGCACCGACTGGAGCCGGGGTACCCTCTGATCATCGGCGGCATCGACATCCCTCACGACAGGGGCTGCGTCGCCCACTCCGATGGTGGGGTGTATTGGTGTCGGTGTGCAGGGCATGGCATTTGGAATCAGCATCCAGGAGGCACCTTTGAGAGCCGCATGCACCTTTCCCATACATTACACCTTCCCACACCACCCGTCCCACAGGCGATGTGCTGCTTCACACGGTAACCGACGCCATCCTGGGGGCCCTGAGCCTGCCTGACATCGGCCAGCTCTTCCCCGACACCGACCCGCAGTGGCGAGGCGCGCGCAGCGACATCTTTCTGAGGGAGAGCGTGCGGCTGATGGGCGAGCACGGCTACTCCCTGGGCAACATCGACTGCACCATCGTGGCGCAGCGCCCCAAGCTCTCGCCGCACAAGGAGACCATCCGGGCCGCGCTCTGCTCGCTCCTGGGGGCGCACCCCTCAGTCGTCAACATCAAGGTGGGCCGGGGTTTGGTGAGTTCCCAGTCAGACATTAGCTTTCTTGTTGAGAGGGGGCATCAGGGCCACGTGCACCGAGGTGCGAGGGGAGGAGGGTCATGGCGCAGTGCAGGGGAGAGCAGCAGAGCACAGATGCGGGACGGGTTGCAAACTGTTGCTTTCCACCCCATCACCCCCTCTCCACAATCCTCGCCCCTGCACAGGCCAAAACGCACGAGAAGGTGGATAGTTTGGGCGAGAACCGGAGCATCGCCTGCCATGCTGTGGTCATGCTGTACCGACGAGACGATGCCAAGCCGGCGCCTGCCTGAGTGCTTCTTGCTGGACTGTCCGCAGCGAGTATGCCAGTCTGTACATGAGCGAGCAGCATGCAGATGGAGCGGCAAAGGGGTGCAGGAGCAGGTGCAAATATGGTCCTGGGGGTCGCTGGCACAGGGGGGCGACAACGGTAGTGCTTTGAGGCCTGAGTCTGGATGTGGAATGAAGGTCACAGTCCTCTCAGCTCAGTCGGCGATGAGGGGCGTGTTGCACATGGGGCACACCGGCTTTCGGTTCCCCTCTGCGGAGGACAGGAACCACCGATCCACGCACTCCAAGTGGAACTGGGAGGGAGGGTTGAGAGGGGCAGGGGTTAGGGGCTGGAAGGGTTGAAGGCAAACTGGCCTGGATGACATCCAGCATAGCAGGAGCCGTTGGTGAGTCGCTGAGAGGCCTGCCTTGCCAATGCAGCAATAAGAGTAGGTGCAGGGTGCCACTGTCCAAGCTGGCAAGACCCCCTCTACTTGCTGCCACCTCCCCCTTCCACCCCTCCAGAGAATCGATGCCACACAGCCAACTCCCAGGGACAAACTGCCACCCGCCCACCTTGTGCTGGCAGCGCGGCAGCGCTCGCAGGACGTCCCCCGGCACGTAGTCGTCGCAGCAGATGGAGCACTGCTGGGAGGAGGTGTCCGCGCGGTCCAGCAGGGCAGCCACCAGGGCCGCCTTCTCCTGTGCCCCTGGCCCGGGGTCTATCCGCGCGCGGCGCAGCAGGGCCTTGAGCTCCCCCGCCGGCAGGCGCGCCAGCTGCTCGGCCGAGTGGAAGACCTCGGTGGGCAGCCCCAGCACGGCGCGGCTCACCGCGGCAAAGTGGTCGGGGTCTGTGCGCGGCACGGGCGCGGCGGCACGCTCCGCGGCGTGGCCCGCCGCCGGCCCGCCCCTCGCGCGCAGCACGGCGGAGCGGAAGACGCCGCCGTCGCGCGCGCCGCGGGTCAGGGCCTCGCGTAGGCCCGCGCCGCGGCGCAGGTGGGGCCAGCCGCTGGCCAGCGCCGACATGAGCTGGAAACCCGCAATCATGGCCTCCCAGCCACACGGCGCTGCCCAGCAGGCCCAGTGCGGAGGGGTCCCGCAGTGTGGTGGGGATGAACTGGGGGGTGGGGGGAGGGAAGGGAGCCTGGGTTGTTCACCAGTAATGATGAGGAGCAGCATCCGGAGCGGTGGGCCCATCCGCGACGAGTTAGATGACCAGGAGGGTGGTGCACTTGCCGGTAGGCAGTTGCCAGCAGGACTCAGGACATTGCCATCAGATACTGGGATGAAGAGTATGAATCTGTCTGCCCACCAAATATAGTGGCAGGGTGCAAACGCGCGCCATCTCGCCTCTGCCTAGGGCTCGCACGTCGGAAAACCCTCGACCCACCACCAGCACGCCCGTCCTCGCGGAACTCACAATGCTGGCAAGCATGGCTGGGACCTCTCCGATCAGAACTCCCGCGAGGAGCAGGCCGATGGTCCAGCCCCAGCTCATGCCGTTGCCAAGGGAGAGGATCAGCATCGCGACACCGTGCGAGGACCGCACTTTCAACCTGGATGACTCCTTTGCCTCGTAGCCATGTTTGGCAGGGAACAACTGGCGTAGGAAGTGTTGTTAGTTATAATCGCCCTACCCTTGCAGGTGATCGGGGCTTCTTAAAGCGGGGAAGGTGCCACGCAGGGGCATGTCGGGAGGGGGTTGTCGGCACTCCACAGGTCGCGCCCGCGCCCTCGACGGAGATGTTGTGAAAGCTGGATCTTGACGACGATCCCCAAACTCGCCGTGATCTGGTCGAAAGATTACTGAGTAGGCATTGAATCGACACTTTGTGGTCATCGTGCTGGATCCCGCTGATCTCGGATCCGAGAACAGGGGCCTGCTCCCTTGAGTTTTCGGTCTGGCTGTGGCACCCCTTTGCAAGGCCCAATCCTCCGTCGGAGGATACCCAATCGAGTCTTCTTGGCCCAGTCATATCTCCCAGATCCACTGTATTGATTCACGGCTATGCCCAGTGCTGTCCGGGTGATGTCCCAGCCTGCCCGGCGGTAGGAAGATCACTTCCCCATGAGTGCCGTGGACACCCTGCTGCAGCGGCTGCGGGGGCGGGCCACGGGGCCCCAACCTTGTGCCGATGCCGGACCGCGCTTCCTGGTCACCAAGCAGTCCTGGCGGGGCCAGTACCACCGGGTGCTGTGCATCACGCCCGCGGCGCTCATCACACACTACCCCGAGACGGGGGACACCACGAACGTGTGGAGCCTGGCGGGGGATGCGGATATCGTGGGCCTGGAAGTGGGGCCCGACTCCCCCGAGGGCGGCCTCTTCACCCTGCGCATGGCGCCCCGAAAGGTGCGGCGCTGCTGGAGGTGGCTGGGGGCTGGTCCATGAATGCGAATGCGCCGTGCAATCCATGGCCGGGGTGGTAGCGCAGCCCTCCGTCCTTGGACGCCTATGAGCAGAGCAGCATGTCCTTGCTGCGTTGCGCACCCCTCCGTTTCTCCGGCCTGGGGTTGCACGGCAATCTGGCCTTGGCTCGGAGCAGTCCACCGCCCACCCACCCACAGTCGCCACACCGCCACACCCACGCATCCCCACCCGCAGGGAAAGGACGTGAAGCTGGCGTGCAGAGCGCGCACCGCGCTGCTGACCGTGCTGTACCAGAGCCTGGCGACCCTGCAAGTCCCCATCCCACCGGCCCTGCTCAGGTGTGCTTGGATGGCTGGGTGCGATGGAATCTGATGCTGAAATACATGGGATGCCGCCGCCCAGGTTGGCCAGTCCCCCCCTCCCTGACTCAATCCATGCTCCTCCTGCACCCCTCCCCCTTCCCAGCCCCCCCACCCTGTACCCCACGTGGAAGCTGCGGCGCGGGGTCTGGGTCCCCGCCACGCTGCGAATCTCCAGCTGGTGCGTGGAGCGGCTTGACCCCGCCACGGGGTCCGTGCGCTGGCGCCTGGAGTACGCCAACGCGGCGACGCCGGCGGTGCACCTGCTGGAGGCCGACCCGAGCGACCCCCCCGGCGCCTCCTGCCTGGCCCTCTTTGGGCGCGCCGGGCGGTCGCCGCGCGTGCACGCGCTGCGGGACCGCGCCGGCGCGTTGCGTGCGCTGCGCGGCGCGGCCCAGCGCGGCATGGGCCTGGTGCTCGCCGTGGACGCCTCCGCCGCCGCCAGCGGCCCGGCCCTGCTCGCCGCCGTGGCGGCCTCGGGGCGGGAGCGCGGCGCGGCGGAGGGGCCCCTGGCGCAGTGGGACGTGCTCAGCGTGCACGACGTGGCGGCGGCGGCCGCCGCCGGCGGCGCCGGGTCCCCGACCGGCGCGCCGGCCGGCTCCGGCCCGCCGCGAGGCGTCACGCGCCGCGCGCTGGTGCTGACGCGCGAGGCGCTACTGGAGCGGCGCGCGGGCGATTACGAGCTGGCGGGGTGGCGCCCGCTGGCGCGCCTGGCGGCGGCGGTACGCTACGCCGACGACCCGCAGTGGCTGGGCCTGGAGTGGGGCGACGGCGCACCGGCCTGCGCCTACGTGACCCCGGCGCGCGACGCGCTGCTGGCGGCCATCGTGGACGTGGCCTCCCGCGCGGCGGGGCGCCCCATCCCAGTCCTGGCGCGTCCCACCGCGCCCGGGGACGCGCTGGTGGCGGCGCGCGGGCAGGCGGCACGAGTCCCGGCCCTGCGCCCCAACGCTGAGGTGGAGCGCATCGTCCTCGGCCAGCTGACGGCGGGAGGGAGCAGAGAGGGGGGGTGCTTTTGGGGGCAAGAAGGTGGGAGTATGTTCAGAGATCGCCCAACCGGGTGGTACGGGGAGCAGGAGCATGAGTGTACGCAAGCGCACCGAGTTCAGAGCTCTCATCCCCCCGCTCCCACTTCCCCCTTGCCTCTCGCAGCTGCGAGGCAGTTTGCGGCCTGTGGGGCGCTGTCCTCCTCGTCCGCCACCCTGGCCCTGGCGGGGCTGTCCAGCCAGGCAGGCCTGACCGGGCGCGGGGTTGAGGCCGGTGGGGGCGGCGCTGGAGTGGGCCTGAAGAACTCGGGTGCGGGGCGTGGAGGGTGCAAGTTGTTTCGGAAGTCGGGGTGCTGGCGGGGGAGTGTGAGGAGGGCGGGAAGGTTCCCCCAGCCACGACATCATCACGTGCAGTGGGTTCTTAAGACGGCCCGGGGATGAGGCTCTGCCCGTGGGCATGGCCTTTGGTCCTCCTGCATGGCTACCACGCCCCCTCCCACCCAACAGCACCCCATGCAACCCCTCACGTCTGTGCAGGGACGATGACGCCGAGGCAGGACGCCGCGGCCGCGGCCGTGCGCCGCGCGTTTGCGCGGCAAGGTCCCGGTGCGCCGGGCGGGGGGCAGGGCGCCCAGGACCCCGAGGCCGTCATCGCGGCCTTCCAGCAGCGCGTGCGGGAGCTCAACGCCTGCGTCCCGGCCAGCGGCGTGCATGCAGGTGGGGGGAGTGGGGTCGCGAGAAAGAGGGAACGGGCGGTCGGAAGGACGTGGGTGATGACCACTTGTGGGCTCTTTTCGCGTTTGGGTCTGTGAACGCTGCTGCGGGGGAGGCCAATCTCCCGTATCTCCTTGACTGACTGGTGTACGACCTGGAGTCTGGCTGGGGTGGGCCCCGTTCCCGCCCAGGCCCCACTTCAAGGCCCTTGTCCTGTTCCTTGCTTCCGCCGCTCCCTAGGACCCCAAACCGCACTTTCCCCTTTCCCCCCCACCCCCCACACGCAAACACATTGCCAGGCTCCAAGGCGGACGATGCGGTGGTGGCGGCGCTGGTGGCGCACCTGCCACGTCAGCAGGCCGCCCCCGTCCCGTTGGGCCTGGACGAGGCCACGCTGGCCATTGAGGCGCTGCAGTGCCTGGACCGCCTGGCCTCCAACCTGGTGGTGGGGGCGCAGGTGGTCGGCGCGGCAGGTGAGGGGTTTGAAGTGGAGTTTTGGGCGGGGGGGGGGGGGGGGTCCGGTGGATGGTGCACCAGGGGCCCGGGCCTTACTGCAACCTTTGCTGTCAACCGCAGGCATCAGGGGACGCTGTGATTCGGGACCTCAAATTCATGGTTCTCACGTTCACAACCCATCATCCCCCCTAAAATACAATCAAGTAGGTGGCGCCAGCCGCCTCTTCGCCTGCATGCTGGCGGGCAACGCGCACCTGGCTTACGAGGCGTGCGGATCAACCTCCGCCGCCGCCTCGGCGCCCCCGCCGCGGCGCGCAGCGGGCTACCCGCCTGGCAAGCCGGCGGGTGCGCGGCTTCCCTGGTCGGGCCCGGACCCCTGCCTGACGGCCTCCTGGGCGCGGCGGGGTCCGGGCCTGACGACCCGCCGCTCGGCGCGGAGGACAGCGGCGAGGAGGTGGCGGCCGCGCGCGCGGCCAAGGCTGTGGTCTTCATCTCCGACTCGCGCTGCGACGCGCTGGTTGCCCCGCTGGCGGCGGGCGAGGCTGCCTCGCCCCTCCTCGTCCTGGGCCTGGTGGAGGCGGTGGCCGCCGTGGTTTGCGAGCCCGGGTCGCGCTCCACCGAGCAGGCCACGCTGACCGCCATGCTCCAGGCAGGGTGCTGTTTGTGTTTCAGGTTCTATTTTGGGGGGGGGGTGGTGGGAGTGAATGGGGGGCCTCGTCCCGGGATGAGGGAGCGGAGCTGATAGAGAGCGGGAAGAAACATGTGCAGGGGAGGCGAAGGCGGCTGGGCTGCAGGGAAACGGGAAGTGGGATGTGCCAGGCGTGGCAACCCCCTCTCTCTCACAAGATGCACGGAACCCTTGCGACTGCCCGTCTCGCATGAGGTGACCTCGGCCGCCCCGATGTCATGCCAACCACCCCAGAGCCACGTGCCCCCCCCATCCCCTTGCACACCGCTCGCAGTCGCTGGCGTCGCTGGGGCGCCCCCTGTTCTGCCTGTTTGGGCACGCCGCGCCTCGCGTCGCCGAAGCGGCCGCGCTGACCCAGCGCGCCGTGGCCGAGGGCGGGGCGGGCGCGGCCGCGCCCATGCGCGCCGCCGCGCTCTCCGACGGCGCGCTGCTGCACCACATGCTGGGCGCGCTGGGCCCGGCCCGCGCCTCGCGCACTCGCCTGTCCCGCGAGCTGGTGGCCCTGTGGTGCGACGAGTACGCGCCGGCGCTGGGCCTGCTGCGCCGCGCTTTCCCGCCAGGCCTGGTGCGCTACCTGAACCAGCGGCGGGCGGGGGCCCAGGCCAGGGTCGGCGCGAGGGGGGGGGCCCGGGTCCGGGGCTGGCCGAGACGTCGATGGCGGCGGTTTGAGGGGGGCCGGTGGCACTGCAGCTGGCCGCGGCGTCGGTGGCGGCGCCAGTGCTGCGGATGGACAGGCCTCTGCACAGATTGCGACGCGGCCGGGGGGCGGGGAGCAAGGGGTCCCGGCGGCCGCCGGCGGGGAACGGGCGCAGACCAGGCCGCCCGCCGATCAGGGTGGCGCCCGGTCCGCCGGCCTCACGCCAGGGTCGCCAGCAGGCACAGGCACCCAAGCTCAAGCTGTGCCAGCCCAGGAAAGCGCGGCCGGCGCCCGTGTCCCAGGGGCACAGGCGGCCGCAGCGCGGCCGGAGGTCCAGCCGCCGCAACCCACGAGCACCACGCCGCCGGAGTACCCGTCGCCGCCCTCGCGCCGCGCCCTGGCGTCGCAGCTCAAGCAGCGTCCTGGTGAGAGAGGGTCCTGGTCCAGGATCATGATTGCGCACGTCACGAGGGCAGGGACGTACTCGGATGTGCTGCTGCGCAGGAGGGCTGTCGTGGGTGCTGGAACTGGTCATTTCGATGCATGCTGGCGAGCGCATCGGCACCGACCAATGCCTCGGGGAGTACCAGTTGGTGGTGCGATGGAATTGAGTGCAGGCGACGTGAGCGCCATGCACCCCTGCACATTCATGCTGGCCGGCTTTTACCTTGGTCAGATGATCCAGGCCCCGCATGCCTCTCCCCATGCAGGCACCCTGCGTGGAAACTGGGAGGCCTTCTGGTTGAACGTGGACAGGGACCACGCCCATGCCGGGCTGATCTGGAACGCCGCCACGCGCACAGAGCTGAGGGAGGCCCTTCAGGTGCTGGTGGGGTCTTGAGGAACCCCAGCGGGGAAGGGGTGGTCGGAATTCATGGTTGAGCGTGGAAGCGGAGTGTATGTATTCCCAAGTGGCATCTTTGATGAGAAATGCGGCCCCTGCCGAGTTCCCAGGGAACCGTGTACCTTCGCCCTGTACCGCTCCACGACATGCATCCATCTCTTACAGCCCTGGAACCTGCACTGCTCACCCAACACACCCGATCTTTTCTCAATTTCAAAGGCCGAGGTTTCTGTGCTCAAGCTGGGCAAGGCCCGGGCTGGGAACCGGGGGATCAGCTGGAACCACGAGGAGTTCCGTGCGCGCCTGCCCTCGCTGCAGCGCCAGCTCAGCATTGGCGGCGTGTACGTCCGCCTCCTCCTGGACGGCGCCGACTCGGGTGCGCCTCGTTCTGTCTCTTGAGGGGAAACCCAGAGCTTTGGCCGGCTCCCAGCTTTGCCGCGCTCAAGACATGCCCCTGTCCATTCGGCACGCATTGAGCCTGCCCACACAGATCCAGCTCACCCCCCACCCCTACACTGGCAGGCGCCGTCGAGAAACTGGCTGCACCCCGGGACTTCTTCCTGGCTGCCTACCACCACTTCCTGTGCCTGGGAGATGCCGATGTGAGCGGGGAGAGAGGGGATTGGGTGTCAGGTCCTACACGACAGACTACTTCCGTGTACCCTTGGCCCAGTGCAGTGCGCAAATCACGTGCAGAGATCACCCGCTTCCCTCTGAACGAACCCAGGAGACATCCTTTCGCCCCTCAAAAAGCGACCACCTCCCTCCTGCCTTCCTCGTGCAGGACGCCGGGGCGCTTGCTGACGCGGCGGGCGCCGCCACCGCGCTGCCGCCCGCGCTGGAACAGCGCATCGTCTGCGTGCGGGCCATGGCCGCCGCCTATGCCGTGCATGCCGGCGCGGTCGGCCCCTTTGACGGCGTGGAGCATGTGGCCCGTGCCGCGGACGCCACCGCCTCCAAGGCCCTGCGCGCCGCCTGCCTGGCCTTCCTGGCCACGCTGGTCGCGCCGGCGGCGGGCGTGGGCGAGGACGGCACAGGCGCCGCACGCCAGGCGGCCACCGCCAACGCCGACGCGCTGCTGAGGGCAGGCGGGGTGGGCCTACTGGTCGACGCCCTCGTCGGTGCGGGGCGGGGTTGGATGGGGTCCAATCGAGGGTTTGCTTGGTTGGTGGGGCCTGCGTCGCAGGGGTGGGGAGGCACGGCATGAACATGACCCGCTGAGCATCGGGTGATCTGGAGCTGAAGGTGATGCTGGCTTCCTTTGGGTCAGGTTGGCAGCCCTTACCAGCAACCTGGAATCCTCCTCCCCTGCACAGCCGGGCATGAGGACGGCGGCGGCGGCGGCGGGGTGGCAGCCCTGCACGGCAACCTCATCGCGTCCACCTCGGCGACGCAACCGCTGCGCTTGTGGAGGGTGCACCTGCCTGATGGCCCGGAGAGGTGAGATTGTTTGGGGAGAGTGCCAGTGCTGTTTTGCGGCAGGAAGAGCCAACTCTAAGAAAACCCCTGGACCTGAGCACCCGCGCCGCGCCTCCTGCCTGGGGAATGCTGGAGGGACGTTGACCTCGAAGATCCATGAGCCTCACCAATTCTGCGGCCACGAGGTCTCTCTTCACAAGCCCTCAGCCCTCTTCTCCCCTACTCCATCCCAACACCACCAGGGCCTGCACCCGGCAGGAGCTCCGCCAGGCCTTTGCGCGGGGCGAGGTGATACTGGACACCCTGCTCTCCTGTCCCGACTGGCGCTCCCCAACAAGTCTAGGCTCCGTGCGCGAGCTGCGCTGGGCCCTGGGATCCAACGCGGGCGGCCCGCCGCCCGCGGCGGCGATCGCGGCGGCCGCGCTGAGCACGCTGGGCGCGCTGAGCGCGCTGCGGCCTGCGCTGGATGCCGCGGGCGAGCGCGTGGTTCCCGCGCCCGCCGCGCTGCGCGCGCTGGGCTCTGGCGAGACGCTGCCGCACCTGGCGCAGGCCCTGCTGACCAACGACCCGGCCCTGGTGTCGGGCGCGTGCACGCTCATGCTGCGCACGCTGTGTCATGACGAGGCGGCGCTGGGCCAGCTGTACCGCACGGGGGCCTTCTTCTTCGCCCTTGCCTACTGCGGCAGCAACCAGCTGGAGGCCGCCCACCTGCTCAAGGTGGGTGGGCAGGGGGGGAGTTGGGGTGGAGTATCCTTCGATGAGTGAAAGTGCTGTATGCAGGCAGGAAGTGAGTTTTGTCTATTCATTCAGTTCTCCTTTCACCTGAGAATGCCTGTGGTGCTCTGGCAGCCCCTCAGGCATCTCCATCGTCCCTGATGCCCTGCAACTCATAGAACCCTTTTCTCCTGTTTCAACACACACACTTGCAGCTGGCCCATCTGGCCCAGCACAGCAAGGGCGTGGGCTTCGGCGGCCCCGTCCAGTCCCTGGCGCAGCGCAGCTTCCTGGGCGGCTTGATCCCGGGTAGGAGCTGGTTGTGAATGGCCCAGCAATGAACTTGCTCTCTCCACCCCGGGCTTCCAGATTGTGTCATAAAAGAAACTACTGCCCCACCCCTCCACCACTCACCCGTCCCACTCACAGACTCCCTGATCTACTGCCTTGAGGAACGGGGCCCCGAGGCCTTTGCGGCCGCGCTGGTCGAGGACAACGACACGCCGGAACTGATCTGGACGCACGCCATGCGCCTGCAGCGCCTGGTCCCACAGGCGAGGGGAAAGGCGATGGATCAGAGAGTGCGTGGCGCTGTGCAGCGGCATGCCAGAGTTGGCTGCCGCATTCTGCTGAATTGCCTCATGCTGTCCTTCCCACACCCAGATGCTGCGTCACCTGGGGGACTTCCCCGCCCGGCTGCGGGAGCATGGGCATTCGCTGTACGAGTACACCCCCTGCCCGCCCGTGGGCTACCCAGAGATCGAGGTGGGTGGTTTGTTTTATTGGGGTGGGGTTTCAGGCGTTGGTGGGGATGCTGATGATGTCTTTCCCTTTCCTATGTGATTTATTGGCTGAAAGCCATGCCCAGGTCAGCACCCAACGCCTGCATGTAAGAGCCCATACGCTGACAGGTGCCCTGCCCTATCCCCATCCCTCGACCTGCTCGACCAAATTCGCAGGGGGAGCTGTGGTGCCACAGGTACTATCTGCGCCACCTGGTCGATGAGGTCAGGTTCCCTGACTGGCAGATCACGGATGCCGTGCCGTTCCTTCAGGTGCACATAGGTTTTATGACTGTAGAGGGGGGAAGAGGGTGGGGAGGTGGGCCTGCAGGGGGGTGAAGTGCATGCGAAAAGGATGGCTTGAGATGGTGGGCTCGACGCGAGAAGTCAGGGGTGCTGGGACGGCTGTGAACAAGACTGGTAGCCTCCTACTGGCGTCTGGCATATTGTTGCAGGCAACACACCCTTGTCAGTGACGCTGTGCAGTGGTCCGCACAGTAATTTGCCTTCTTTTTTAATTGATGCCCTGCATCAGTGCCCCATCGCTGATGACACTGGCCGAGTGCCCACACATCTTACCGCCCCACCAACAATGTCACACCACCCACATCATCAACCTTTCCTCCCAGTCCCTGCTGGATGCCTGGCGCGTGGAGCTGGCCCGGCAGCCGCTCAGCATGACGGAGTCGGATGCTTGCGCCGTGCTGCAGGTGCAGCCCGACGGTACCGGGCACGTGCCCGAGGACTCGCTCAAGGCCGCCTACCGCCGGTGCACTGGGGTCGAGGTTGAGGGGGCTGTCTTGGGTTCTGTGAGCTGACTGCGAGGCCTTGAGTGGTGATTTACTCTTTGGATCAGCCCTTACTGATGCTGGCAGCCTTCCAGGGGACGGTGGCAACCCCTGGTGTGGTTTGTCCTGTATTGAGGAGCTCAACTGGCATATGTCTCCATGTTTCTGAGACTTTCCGTCCTTCCCAGCGCTCTGGCCCGCCTCAAACACACACGCCCCCTGCCCCAAGTCACCCCGCCACCGGATCTCTGCCTCGCTATCCTAGAAAACCCCTTCCCCAACCCCCACCACACACACACACACTTCACCAGGCTGGCGCGAGCCTTCCACCCCGACAAGAACCCAGATGGTCGTGACCGCTTTGAGGCCGTGCAGCGGGCCTACGCGCGGCTGCAGGCCGGCGCGGCGGGCGGCCAGGGCCCCCAGCCCTGGCGCCTGCTCCTGCTCATCCAGGCGCAGTGCCTGGTGTTCCGACGCTGCACTGCGGAGCTAGCGCCCTACAAGTACGCGGGCTACGCGCTGCTGCTGCGGGCCTTGACACCGCCCGACCCCGGGGCCGATGCCTCTGAGGCCCAGCAGCTGCTGGGCGGCGAGGCGCTGCCCCTGGTCCGCGCCGCGGCCGAGCTGGCGTGGCTGACCTGCGCCGCCTCGGGCCCAAACGCGGAGGAGCTGTGTCGCAGCGGCGGCCTGGAGGCGCTGGGCGCGCTGTTTGAGCGCTGCGTGGCCGTGACACACGCCGACGCGTCGCCCGTGCGCCCGGAGGTGGCTATCCTGACGCATTGCCTCCACGCCTTTGCGGCCATGGCGTGCCACCCCGCGCCGCGCTCGGCCATGGAGCGCCGCCCCGGCCTTGCCCGCGACGTGGTGCGCTGCGCCGGGCTGGAGAGGGCGCACGACGCCGTGGACGCCGCGCTGCGCTGCGCCGTCCACATGGCCGCCTCCCCGGCCCTGCAGGCGGCCCTGCTGCGCGCCGGCGCGCTGGGCCGCGTCACGCCGCTCATCCTGCGCTACGACGCTACGGTGCCCGGCGCCGACGGCCCGGCGGCCGAGGTGGTGCCGGGGATGTCGCCCGGGGACGGGTACCGGCCGGGGGCCCCCTCGTGGCGGATGAGGCCGTGAACCATGGATTCAAATCGAGCGGGTCGGATGGGCCCGGCGCCCCAGCAAGAGACCCGGGCACCGCGGAGTCGGCGCGGCTGAACGCCAGCGCCATGCTCGCCGTGCGCACCCTGGCCGGCCTGGCAGGCTGGGCGGGCCCCCCCGGCCCCGAGGCCCCCGCCAGCGCCGCAGCGCGCGCGGCACTGGCGGGCCTGCTCACCCCCACGCTGGCGGCGCGGGTGGCAGAGGCGGACCCTCGACCCCTTCTCCGGGACCTGGCCGCCGGCGTGTGCACGCCCGAGGCGGTGTGGAGCGCCGAGATGCGCGCCGAGCTGGAGACGGCGCTGGAAGGCATGCGCGCCGGCGAGGGGGGCGGGGATGCCTTCGACCCCGGCGGCGCGCCCGACGACCCAGGCGCCAGCCTGGGGCCGCAGGTCGCGGCCGCCGCGGGGCACACCTACGCTGCGCTGGACCGCCAGCTGCTGGTGGCGGGGGTGTTTGTGCGCGTGTACGTCGCGGCGCCGGGGTCGCGCGTCTCCGACCCCGCCGCCCTCTGCCGTGGCCTGGTCACGCACCTGGCGCGCGCCGACCTGGGTCAAATGGCAGAGGACGCGCTGCTGTGCCTGCGTGCGCTGCGCCAGCTGCTGGAAGGCGCGGCGCGCCTGCTGGGCGTGCTGTCCACGCGCGCCGCGGTGGAGCCGCTCCTGCGCTGCCTGGCGTTTGGGGTGGACGCCGGGGTCGAAGGGGAGGGGCATGCCAGGGGGAGCCCCGGGCGCGAGCATCGGCGCGCCCTCCGGCGTAGCGGGGCCCCCTGGACCCGCCCCTCACCCCTCCCTGCCCGACCCACCAGCCGCCGCCGCCCTGGCGGAGGCGGCACTGGGCGTGCTGGCCACGCTGGCCTCGCACGCGGGCTGCGTGGACGCGCTGGCCTCGGACCGAGCGACGCAGCTGGCGCTGTGGGCCGCGGCCGCGCCGCCCACGCCGGCCTGCCGAGACACCGCGCTGCGCGTGCTGGGCGCACTGGCCAGCGCGCCCGTCGCGGCGTGGGCGGCCGCCACGCGCGGCGGCGCCCTCTTCCTGCTCTCCATCGTCCTGGATGGCGGCGCGGAGGCGGGCAAACGCCGCAGCGCCGCCGCGCTGCTGGCCGCGTTCTCCACTCAGCCCACGCACGGCGCTCGAGTGCGGCTGCTGCTGGGCCGCCTGCTCCCTCAGGCCATCCTCGCCAGCCTGCTGGTGGGTATGACCAAGCCCCGGCCGGCACCTGACCCGCCCATCACTCGTTCCTCCCTGTCATGCGCGGTGCTCGAGTCCCCTCGGCAGAGGGTGATCCTTACAGCCTCCATCCCCCCAGGCTCACCGCCGTAAACCCCCATCCATCTCCTCAGGGTGACCCCGCCGAGCAGGCCCTGGCGACGCTGGAGTCCAGCTGCGAGACCCCCGCCTGCATCTGGAACCCGGCCATGCTGGCGAGCGCGAGGAGCGAGGTGGGGCACCTGGTCCGCGCTGCGCGGCGTGCGCAGGCGTTGACGGGGACGCTCGACTGGGCGCCCGAGGAGGGCTATGCCGTCGGCTACCCCGGGTTGGAGGATGAGGTGTTTATCGGCGGTGTCTACGTGCGCCTGTACCTCAAGGATCCGCAGTACCCGCTCAGGTGCGTGCGGCGCTGGGTGGGTGGTGCTGCGGAAGTGGATGTGCAGTGTGTGAAGGGGGTGCACCGGCCGGAATGCAGGGCAACCAGCGCGCGACCCGCTCGCGAGGTGCAGTCGCGGGGACATCCGTCTTCCAATCGAAGTCTCCCTGTTGATGCCAGACGTGTATGTTTGACTGTGGGGCCATCGTGGAGACCTGCCTGCAACATTCCTTGGCTGATTCGCCCCTCCATGCCCCTCGCCACACACACCGAGGACTCCTTCGTGCTACATTCCCCCTCTCAACCCCTGTAGGTCGCCCAAGGACTTCCTCCAGGCGCTGCTGGACCAGATGCTCGCGGCGGCGACGCGCGCCCCCGCGCAGGGCGCCTGCGCGGCCAACGCACTGGCCTCCGGCCCCGGGGCCCCAGGCGCCGCGCCTGCACCCACACCTGGTGCTGGGGCCCTCCGCCCCGCAACCGACCCCGCCGACCTGACCCTGCTGCTGGGCGCCGCGGCCTGCGCGGCGCTGGACGTCTACCCCCACCTGGGCGACGGCCTGGTGCAGCAGGGCGCCGTGGACAAACTGGCGCGCGCCCTGGACGCGCGTACGCCCGCCCTGGGCGCCCGGCCCGACCTCTTTGCGTTCGACCCCGTGAGAGGCGCGGACGCCGTCTCCGGCGCCATCCTCCGCCTCCTCCACAGGGTGAGTGGGGTGGGCGGGGGTGCCTGGTCGCCGTGCCCCTTTGAATCCCACCGAAAGGCCTGGCGGGGTTTGGCAGCACCAAGCCGAGGATGCACAGCAGCAGCGGGTCCTCTTGCGTGGGTGGCACGGTGCCACGTGGTGCAGGCCTCAGGGTCCAGGGTCCACCACCCCGCCCAGGACTTTCCCCAAGCAACCCTCATCGATGCACCGAATACTTCCGCCTTCCCACGCAGCTGGTCGCGGGCACGGCCGGGGCGGAGGCCCTGGCGCGGACCCCGGTCCCGGCCTTGCCCCTCCTGCTGAGCGCGCTAGGCGGCGGGGTGGAGGGCCAGGTCCTGGCTCTCGAGACCCTGCTGCGCGCGCTGAGCCCCTCCTCGCGCTCCCGCGACTCCCTGGTGGGGGCAGCCCTGGCACGCGATCTGCCCCAGACCCTGCTGGCACGCCTGGGGGAGGCACCCCAGCCCGCAGACCAGGTAGAGGAGAGAGGGGGGGAGGAATTGTGGGAGTGCAGCTTTACAAGGAGCCTGAAGGACGACCGTCCGCCAGGAGACCTTTCAAGGGACTGACTCTGCGGGTCTGTGCCGACTTAGTTGTGTGACGGGCCACAGGCAACCGTACGCAGCCCCAAGATTCACGTCTCCCCTCCCCTACCCCCCCCCCCCCTTCCAACCCTCATGCCAGGACGCGCAAGTGGCTCGCGTGGTGATCATCGACGTCCTGCATGCCCTGGCGAGGCCGGGGCAGCATGAGGCGACAGTGGCGGCCGTGCTGGATGCATCCGGTACGTCGACATTGAATGATGGGCATGGGAAAAAGCCGGCTGTTGACAGTCCTGCTAATGCCCTGCACTGTGCCTATGCCAAGCCACCATGCTCCTCACGTGCCTCCAACTCTTTTCCTATCATCATTCCTAGCAGAGGTGTGGAGCATGTACGCGCACCAGCAGCACGACCTCTTCCTTCCCTCCAACACCAGCCGGCTGCTGCAGGGTGGCGGCGGCGCAGCGGCCTTGCTGCAGGGAGCCAGGACCTTTGCCCTGCCCGCACCATCCGCGACGCCGCCCGCCAACCGCGCAGGGATGCGGCGAGGAGGAGATGGCGAGGAGAGCGCTGGCGGCGTTCAGGCGATGCAATCGCCTGTCCAGCCTGGTGCAGGGGTGGAGGCAAGCGAAAACCCTCCGCAAGTCCATTCTGGATTCAGCGACGCTGCACACACTACAACGAAGGAGAGTCCAGAACGAGCTCAAGACTCTGCGCCGAGTACCAGCGATCCTGTGCCGTCACTGAGCGTCTCTGCCCCTCCATTTGGCGTGCCTGCGACCACAGGTGCTGCTGAGCCTGGCGTCCACGGAACACGATTGGCAGCCAGTGATGATGCATCTGCGGCCAAGCAGGTCGACTCGGCCACAAGTAAAGACAGCGCTGCTGGACATCTGCAGGAGCAGCAGAAAGCATCCCCGCAAGAGGCAGAGGCCAGCCAGGAGGAAGCAGCGGGTCCTGAGCAGCCGGCCGGCAAACAGGCTCCTTCGCCAGTTGCACCCTGGAGCAGAGACATGGAGCCATTGCCAGCGAGCCTATCACCCACCGAGGGACCCCAGGTGGCAGCAGAAGAAGTCCTTCAGACGACCACAACACCCGCAGCAAGGCCCTTGGTGGGGATCACAGAGGGAGGTCCTGCCGCCAGCCCCTCTCACCCAAAGGAACCTGCCGAGACCCCTCCAGGCGACCGCCCTGCTCCCTTGGCCATCAACCAGGAGCCCCAGGAGGCATCCCAAGGCATGGCGTCGCCCAGCACCCCAGTAGCTGCCGCACAGGTACAGGAGTCACCCACGGCCGACCTGAGCACACCTCTGCGCCGATCGCGCCTGACGAGCCACGACCGGAGTGAGAGTGGAGACATGTCAAGGGCATCCCTCAGGAGTGCTGGGGCGAGCCCTTTGGGATAGCGATGGTGCAATTTGAGCCGCTTTTGCAAATGCATCCCTCTTGCGACCTGGTCTTGCTGCATGCACCGACATGTAGACAGAGCAGCGACTGCTTCACAGGACTTTGCTGTGGGCTATGAGAGGGCATGGCCTGCCTGGCAACCAGAGATGGGTATGAGGTCGGCAGAAATCCCCATCAAGCAGTGAACTTTGTATGTTGCCATGCTTAGAGACCAAGGAAGGGATGCCATGCACGACCATCCAAAGCAGCATCCAGTGAGGCCTGCAGCTACTGCACGTCATTGTTCTGGGCATGAGATCACACCATACCTTCTGTCAAAATGATGTCAGTCAAAGGTTTCTTTCGAGTGCAGGAGCATGGACAAGGGGGGCATCGTGGGTGGTATTGCCCCCAGCTGCCAGTCGAAGGAGGCACAGCAGTAGGAGATCAGTGTCTGGTCAGCAGTGCTGCTGTTGCAGGGCTTCGTCCTCTGCGCCTTGGTTCAAAGCGCTCCGTCAGCAACTCTCATGCTCCAAACGCTCATCCATACACACACATGCCAGTTGCCTCTGCCTGGCAAATCATGTTAGACGGGGGGAATGCCATCCGGATCCTGCAGCCCCCTGAAGTCCAGCTGCAGAGCCAGGAGGTGCAGGGGGCTGTGCTGCCCCTGGGCATAGCACAGCCGCGCCAGGCGGGCCGAGGCGGCGTCCACGGCCTCTGCCTGGCTCCCCAGGTCGCCCCAGGCCTCGCCCAGCGTCGCCGCCCAAGCCTCAGAGCCGACACGCGACCGCTCCGCCCGGGCCAGCCAGCGGCGGACACGGGCCGCCAGCTCCATCGCTTCTCCAAGCGCGGCGTCCGCCGTGCCGCGCACGCCCGGCGCGGCCTCGAATCCCGCGATCCCGATGGCCACGTCCCGTGCCTGATTCCTCACCGCCTCCAGCAGCCGCTGCAGGTCGGTAAAGGCCTCGGGGGAGGCGCGGCGGAGGGGCAGGGAGGGGGAGGATGTCGAGGGGTAGGGCGAGGCCCGATGCGCTTTTTGGTCCAGGGCCGTCGTCGAGCAGTCTCGGTCTGGGGCGCCGTCCTCGGGGCCTGGGAGTTCATCGTCGCTCGCCTGCTCGGGTGATGGCCTCGAGCTGGTGTCCAGATTCCTGTTCAAACTTGGTTTGCAGGCGCGAGGAGACCCTCTGGGGGTGGTGTGCGTCAGCGCTCCTGTCGCCTCGTCTGCAGAGCGTGTGAGTTGACGCACGCGAGTCAGGTAGGAACTCATAGAAAGACCCGCCCGCCCCTGTCGCTCAGTCGCTGCATGCCAGCTTATACTGCAAGCCAGCAAGATTCCTCACCACCAACAGAACATCCACTGACCTACCTTCCATGTCGTGGCTGTGCAGGCGTGAGACGCTCACCGAGCCCAGTTCACTGGAACCTTCAGTCGCCAGCTTCCGCACCTCTTGGCGCAAGCTGGTGGCGAGGCGCGCCGCCGGGCCCCGCCACGCCGCGCCCTGACTGCGCTGGTGCAGGTAGTTCACCAGCGCGGCGCAGAGCAGGCCGGCGCGCTCCAGGCCCAAGCGCAGGCGGCGCAGGCAGGCGCGGCCGGGTTCGGAACCCGCCACCGCCCCGCGCCGCCCCAGCCGCGCGAGGTGCAGGCGCAGCGGGCGCAGCGCGTGCTGCACCCGCCTGACACGCAGGTGCACGTCGAAGGCCGCCGAGAAGGCGGCGCGCACCTCCTGTGGCGGCGTGAGGGGAGCGTGGGGTGGCGGGGCGGAGTCGCAGGGCGCTTGACTCTGCCAGATCAGTGCTGCTGGCCGCAAGGCGAGGCCGCCACACCTGCCGCCACCCAGTGCCCCTGAGAACAAGGCGACAGTCACCCGACCAACCAGCAAAAACTCATCCACCCTATCGCCTTCGAGCATCCAACCCCTCACCCTGCCCAGCACATGCAACGCAGTACCTCTGTGAGCACGGCGGAGAGGGGCCAGGTGACGGTGTAGTCGAGCACCAGGCCGCCCAGAGGTCCCAGGCAGTCTGGCGCCAGGAGCGGCGGCGAGTGCTGCGCCGCTTTCATTGCGGGCCGGCGAGCGCGCCGTGCCGGCGAGCCCAGATTGCCCGCGGCGACCTGCCCCGCCAGGCCGGCAGCAGCGGCGGGGTCGTGCCGCAAGCGCAGCCGCGTCGCGCGGGGGACGGCCGCCGCGCCGCTGGCCCGAAGCGAGTGCGCCAGGCAGGCGGCGAGGGACGAGGGCGTGAGCGGCTCCAGGGCCTCCAGTCTGTCGCTGAGGCCGGCGGCCAGCGCATCGGCCCAGTCCCCCGCGCCCATGAGGAAGAAAGAGCGAAGGGCCTCGATGTGGTCCAAGAGTCTCAGCTCGTCCAGGAAGTAACTGGGTGTGGTGTGTTGTTTTGGGAGGGGTGCTTGTGTTGGTCTGGCTGGTCGACAGGGGTTGTGCATGCTCAGGCATAAAGCGCGCAGCCTCTGCAATCCCAAGCCCTACCCTTCCTGGCCAACATTCCCCGCAAAACCCATGTCGAACAAGCGGCCCCTGTCAGACCCACAACCACCACGAACAGCGCACACCTGGTGCAGGTCCGGCTGACGGCCCGGTGCTGCGAAAGCACAGGGTCCACAATCCAGGCCTGGATGACAGCCTGCAGCGAGGGCAGGGGCGGCAGCGAACCCTTCGCATCCGCCGCACCGTCCAGCGCCTCGGCATTCAGCCTGGAAAGCGGGGCGCAGGCGTCCAGGACAGCGCAGGGGCTGCCCTCTCGCAGGCCGCACCGCCACGCGCCGACCTGCGGGCTGCTCTCCGCGCTGCTACTGCCGTTTGAAGGCGACGCGGCGGGTGGGTCCAGAGGCGGAGCCTTCCCTGACCCCGAGCCCACGGCGCCGAGCGCGTCGGCGGCCGCCCGCGCGCGCTCTGCGGCGTCGCGACGCTGACTCAGCGCGCGCTCCGCTGCCGCTGCCATGCTGGCCGCCGCCCTCGCGGCGCGCGTGTTGGGGGCGGACAGGTGCTCCCGCTGGCGACGCAGCGCCTCGGTCAGCCGCGCGCTCTCGGCGGCCGCGGTCGCCAGCCTGCAACGTCATGGGTGCATAGGGTGCATTGATGCAAGGGGTAATGTGTGCTGAGCGCACGGAAAAAACAGCTTAGAGATAGCACCCCAGAGCACCCACACTGCCTGCCAGCAACTTCCAATAAGAAAGCCAGGCCACCAACATCAACCACCCCCCACGCACTGCTTCGCGCGCATGGCGGCGGTGCGTCGCAGCGCGGCCGCAGCCACGGCACGCTCCTGCTCTGATCTACCACTCGCCAGGCGGGCCAGCCAGGCATCCACGGCCGCGGCTCTCCGCGCCTCGCCCGCCGCGTTGGCGCGGCGCAGGCGGTCCAGGTCGTGCAGGGTGAGGGGCGGCGAGGCTGTGGAGGGCAGGGACCCCTGCGCCAGGCAGTCGCGGTATCCCGCGCCCGGCCCGTTTGCTGGAGAGTACGCGTCGCCTGCCCCGGGAGCAGCCGCGAGGAGGTCGGCGAGCAGGCTTCCGGAGACCTCGCCTGGCAGGGAGGCCAGCAGGCGCAGCTGCAGGCCCCCCGCCAGCAAGGGCCCCCGGATGGAGGACAGGAAGGAGGGTGGGTCCCCTGGCAGGACATGCTCTGGTCCGGCCATCTCGCCGCTGGCTCTGTCATTCTCACCCATCGACAGCGCTGCCGCCGGGAGGGCGTCCTCGACCCACCCCTCCCTCTGCACCAACTCTGGGCGCCAGGGCAGGGCCTCGACAGACTGGCCCCCGGCGCTGGCCAGCTCCAGGTCGGGCGCGCCCAGCCCGTAGGCCCAGCCCAGGGCGTGCGCGGCATAGGGCTCGAGCGCGGCGAGGAAAACACGGCGCGCGTACCCCCCCGCGTCGTCTCGCGCGCCGCCCTGCGCGGCGGCGTGCAGGACTTCCAGCAGAGCGGCCTGGTCCGGCGCGTGCCGCGCCGCGGAGCACAGCGTGCACAGCAGGGACAGCGTGCGGCGCACGCCTCGCGTGCCTACCTCCACCTGCAGCAGGGACAGGGCGGGGTCGGCGCCGCGGCGCAGCGTGCCACTCGCATGGCCATCGGTCGCATTGCCGGCGCCCGCGCCGGGCCCGCCGCCCGCGCCCCTGGTCGCTCGCACGCGAGCCAGAGGCACGCGGCCGTGCCTCCGCCCCAGCTCCAGCAGGGAGTGGTCCAGTGCCCGCAGCTCGCACCGCACGGCGGCCAGGAAAGCGCGGCCCACGGGTCCTTGCGGCACGCTGGCCGAGCTCTTGTCGTCGTCGTGGGTGGGGTCGGCCGAGCCCTTGCCGCCGTCATGTACTGGGCCGCGCGTCTCGTCGTCGACGTCCTGCCCCTTGCAGTCCGTATGAATACCCCTGACAGAAAGCAGGGCCTCCACAGCGGCGCGATCTCGCGCGGCGACCTGCAGGTCCACCAGGACACTCAGGGCGGCAGGGAGGCGCGGTGCCGGCGCCTCGGCCCGCGCCTCGGCCAGGCCCTCCTCGAGCCCAGCCAGTGCTAGCGTGGAGCCTCGGAGCGCGGCCAGGCCCAGTGCCGCGGCCTCCGTGTCGCCCAGCGTCCACAGCGCGGCCTCGGGCAGGGGCGCCCAGCCGGCGTTGATGTCCGCGCCCGGCCCGTCTCGACCACTGCCAACGCGGCGTGGGCCAACGGCCCAGGCGCCGTCGGTGTCGGGCGCCAGCCCCTCTGTCCCCGGGTCAAACCCCGTCAGCGCCCCGGGCGCCGAGTCCAGGCCCAGCAGGCTCAGCGGCAGGCCCAGCGGGGGCGGGGAGGCGACGCTGGACGGCTGCGCCGCCAGGCGGCTGGGCAGGGTCAGCGCGCCGGGGCGCTGACCGCTCGTACCGCTCGTACTGCTCGTACTGCCGTCCAGCGCGGCCTGGCTCAGTGGATCCCACTGCGGCCGGTTACTCAGTCTGGCCGCCAGGCCGTGCACGCCCTCCTGCCCCTCGAAGGCCGCGTAGGGCAGGCGCAGTTCGGCGGGCAGCAGCAAGCTCGTCGGACCGGCGGCGGTGGTGAGCGCGTCGGGGTCCGGGGCCTGCGTCCACAGCCGCGCCGCCTCGGCCTCCACCAGCCGGCCGTGCCCGGCCCTGGCGGCATCGGTCTGGAAGCTGAGGCTTTGCCGGCGCACCGAGGGCGAGGAGCCCTGGCGCGTGGGGGAGAGGGCGGGGAAGGGTAGGTGGAGAGCACAGATGGAGGACCAACAGCCCCTCCTTGGGGGAAGGAAGATCCATGCGAGTCTGGGGAAGGGGCTGGTTACAACTGCATCGACACTACAGCTTTTCAGCTTGCAAGCTCCTCCCCAAGGAGCAGGAACGTGCTCCTGAGGTGTGAACCATTGAATGCCCAGGACTGCGAGGAGAGCAGCACTCTGCCACACCTGGAGGGAGAGCAGGAAGGCGAGGAGGGCAGGCTGCTCCTGCATGGGTATGGCTGGGGGCGCGCCGACTTCCCGCTGGATGCCGGTGCCCAGGACATGGACGACCTGGCACCTGCATTATGAAGGGGTGAATGTGATGCCTCCCTGGCTAGGCGTGATCCGCCAGGCGTGCATGGCTTCCAGCCCTTCAGGTACTGTGCTTTGACGAAATGAGCTCATGCCCCACGTTCACTCATGCAGCCACACGCTCACCCCGCCCCATGCCCTGACCCCACCTCTGCAGCTCAGCCCAAGTTGCCTGGAGCCTGCGTCCCAGCTCCTCGAACCCCTCGTCAGCGAGGCGATCCTGGCTGTCCCTGAGCCTCTCCTCGAGGTCCACGATTGGGACGGAGGGCGGGCCCTGCGGGAGGGGACAGGGACCCACCCCTCGGCACCGATCCAGCGACACTCAGGTGCCATCATACACGCCCTTCCACTCCGGACGATGCTTACCGCCCTCAGGCCCAGCAGCAGGCTGTGTGCCATCCTCCTCGCAGCGTTTCGTTGAGACTGGGTTGGAGACTCGTCAGGCACCATGCATCGCACGAGGTGGCTCAGCAGGCCGGGGTAGGCCAGGTCCGCCATGGCCCGGTTCCCCCCTCCGGCCTCGACGCGTCAGACGCCCTGGTCCCTGCTTTGACCCATGCAAGGGATGCAACTCGAGGTTCTATGTATCGGAGCTGTGATGCGGTTGCTCATTCAAGGACTCCTCGGAGGGAGCACGGGGCGTTCCTATGTCATACTCGGTCGCGCTCGGGAATATGCGTGCCAGCTCGCCATCTTTTGAAAGCGTGTTGCGCGGTCCGATGCACACCCCTTATAACCCCCCTCCCCCCCACCCCACCCCTGGATGTCGCCTGCTAACCCTAACCACTTCAACGGGCTGACTTACAAAAGGGATAGCATGCACTTCATCGCGGTGCTGCTCAAGTTCTCTGGCAGGGGTCGTGCAGTATATGTTGACTCATGGGGGTTCGTGGCCATGGGCAGGGGCAGTGCGCGTCCCACTCCGAAACATGGGGCGAGGCGCGGCCTACGCATGGCGTCATCACTGCTGGGGTCGAGGACATGGATGGCCGGGGGGTGGCGCAGAGGGCTGTGCATGCAAGGGGACCCCCCCCCCCCCCCCCCCCAGCCACATCGACCTCTCGACCTGCATTCCACAATCCCCCCCCCCTCCCCTTCACACACATACGCTCTTGATCACCTTGTGCCGGAGGAGCAGTGTGTGCATGCCTTTATAGTCCCACTCACGGTGGCTGCGTGCATGCAGCATGAGCGGCAGCAGGTCCGCCCCCGTGACCATGTCCACGATGGGGTCAAAGGACTCCTGCAGCACCTCCTGCGCGGCGCGCAGGGCCCAAGCGCTGGCTACGCGGCCGTCCTTCCCTCGCAGCACCTGCCAGCTGTGCTGCGGGTGCCCCGGGATGTCCACCACGCCCTCCTCCACCCGGGCGCGCAGGCGGGCATGGATGGCGCTGCACTCCCCGCTGCAAAACCACTCGCCTGCAAGGGGAGGAGGGGGGGGGTGGGAGGAGG